TTAATAATAAATTATATTTTATCACATATTTTATCATATTTTGTTATATTTTATCATATTTTAATATATTTTATCTATTTTATCCTAATTTCGGTTTTATTTTTTGGTTTTCGATTTTTAAGAAACTCAACCGAAATCGAATCAAAATATATTTGATTAATACCAAAACCAAAAAAATAAAACCGAAAACCATTTAAATCGAACCAAATTCATTTTTTTGATTCGGTTTTCGAGTAAACAATCGGTTCGGTTAAAAAATGCCCAGCCCTACTGAGGGCGTCCATTACACGATTTGGGAGTCTAAGTTTCAATATTCGAGGGGTTGACGCCAAAAGCAGAAATTCTTTCATTCTCAGCCAATTAAATTAAGTTTCGTAACATTTACCCTGCAAAATGACAAAACCAACTGAGAAATGATGCTCTTAGACTTGGTCTTGGAGACTGACATGTCCGTATTCAGGTAAACAATTAACTCGTAATTACGCGTTTTCAACTTGGGAGTCTTGTGAACTGATTGGGTTTTTCCTTGCCAGGTGGTGTGACCAAGTTTACTCAGTCAATCCCTTTTACTGTTTTTAAAATAATGTATTTATATTACAATATTATATAATATTATAAATTTATTTAATATATTATATACATTTACTAATTAAGTGGTAGTTTATAATTTTAAATTTATAATTTTAAATAGTATTAAAACTGTATCATTATTGTTATTGTTTATGGTGTTACGAACTTACTTCAATGTTTTCAAATTTCCATTGAATATATGAGGCTTTCCTAGCACTATAATTTTGGTTTTTTTTTTTTTAATATTCTCTATATCAGGTTTAGTTTTGTGTTATTAAACTTTTGATCTCTTTATATATGTATATATTTGCCATGACTTAAAACTTTTAAAAGTTTTTTCAAATGTATAAAATTACAATAAAACCTAAAGTTTTAAATACTAAGTTTTTCTTAAATTGGCTTGAAAAGTACACTCTCAAAATTTTAAGGTTAAATCTTATATTAAACCCGAAACTTACTCCAAATTCTTGATTAAGTTTAGAAATTTTTATTGAAACAAATAAGATTCTGAATTTAGTTATTTAAACAATTCTCTTTTTTTTTTTATGGCATATTTAATACTATTTAGTGCCTTACTTGTATAGATAAGATATTAACATATTGTTATATATGTGATAGGTATTGATTTTATCCATGTAAGTATGGCATAAATAAGTGTTAAGTTTGCGTTAAAGAAAAAATGTTAAATTACCAAATTTAGAGGTTTATTTGTTTCAATAAAAATTTAAAGACTTGATTTAAAGACTTAATCGTAAACAAAGAAGTTTGAGTGGCTTAGCCTTAAAATAAGCGTAAACTGATTGAAGAACAGCTTCCCTCCACAAAAAACAGTAAACAAAGAAGTTATGGTTTCATTGAGAAAACTCATATCTTGAGCCATATAAAGATGCTTAAAATTAATGGTATCCGCCCCCCCCCCC